CTTTCCCTTAGAAACTGTGCATGAAGTGGCTCTGAAGGACAAGGAGCCAGACACACAGGATGCAGATGAAGTGAAGGCGAGTGGGGAAGTTGTGGGGGAGGAGGGGCCTGGCAGGGCGGGGACTGTGCACTCTCACTGGGTTCATGTCTGGGAGACTGCCTGTGAGCTTGAGTGGGACCATTTGCAGAAGGCCCTGGAGCTGCAGATGGAGAGCCACCGGGAAGCCCACCACCGGCAGCTGGCCCGGCTCCGCGATGAGATCAACGAGAAGCAAAAGACCATTGATGAGCTCAAAGAGTAAGAATTCCCAAGGGTGGTCCCAGTCTCCACCAGGTTCTCTTGCCCTGCTGTACCCATCCAGTGATCCCTCTGAGCCTCCATCTTTACCTTCCATGTGTCATTCCTTCAATAATGGTGCAGCTCTTGGGACCAGCAGTTAACGTAATGGCTATGTCGCTGGACTCCCACGTAGTTGACCGCGGTTCACGTCCCGGACCCGGTGGCTTAAAACTCATACCGGGCGCGTGTGCGTGCATGCCCAAGATCCCGAGAAGAAAATGGAGGAGAAGGGATTATGGCGTGACCATCCCCCCTGGGGGGGTGATTTCTCATTTTCTGTCTCTCTGTCTCTCTCTCTCTGGCAAGTGCACACGCCCTATAGCAAAAAGCTCTCCAAAAAAAAAAAATAATGATGATGATGCAGCTCTGCAGCCCAACTTCAGGAGATACAAAGAATAAGGACTAGTCTCTACCCGTGAGGCCCCAAGAGAGTGCAGGGTTCCTTACTTGGTCATGGAGACAGTGATCTGACGCTACCTCTGCCATGTAAATATGCCATGTAGATATACCCATTGTTTATTATTATTATTATTTATTATTTTTAAAGGTTGCTATAGGACACATGTGCTCATCAGAGATAGAGAGAGGGAAAGTGAAAAAGCAAGCCACCAGGTCCAGGACTTGAACTGCAGTCAGCCAAGTGGGAATCCAGTGCCTTAACCACCATGCCACTTGCTGGCCCCAGATGTACCCATTCTAACCAGACTCACTCGCACAAGAGGGAGGACCCTTAAGGAACTGGTTTTCCCTTTGCCTCTCATGATCATGTTTTGTTTTTTCTCTCTGATACGTCTTGACTGTCCATAGCCTGAATCAGAAGCTCCAGTTAGAGCTCGAGAAGCTTCAGGCTGACTACGCGAAGCTGAAGAATGAAGAACACGAGAAGAGCACCAAACTGCAAGAGCTGACGTGAGTGACCCTCTGGCCTGCAGACTGTGGCCACACAGGCTCAGAACTGCTACTTGGACACGTGGGCAGGGCAGGATGCATGTGGAAAGGTGACGGGACCATTCACAGGAAGCTAGCAGGTGGTGTGAGGAAAGGGAGGAAGGAGACTTGCAGAAATGATCATGGTTAGGTGTAGCAACATAGAAAGGGATGTGGATGTTCTGTGAGTCATAGGAAGCTTATATCTGTAACCCCAGATACTCAGGACGCTGAGGTAGAAGGTCATGAGTTGGAACCCTCAGAGGAGAATAGTGGAGAAGGGATTGTGGTGTGACCATCACCCCCAGGGGATGATTTCTCACTTCCCCTCTTTTCCCTCTCTCTGTGTCTCTCTCTGGTGAGTGCATGCACCCTATAGCAAAAACTAAAAAAAAAAAAAAAAAAAAAAAAAAAAAAAAAAAAAAAAAAAAAAAAAAAAAAAGTTATATATTTATAGAAAAATAGTCTGCAGGAGGGGGGCAGCAGGTGGTGTGGTGGTTGAAGTGCTGGACTCCCACATGGCCGACTGTGGTTTGAGTCCCAGACCTGGCATCTTGCTTTCTCATTTTCCCTTTCTCTCCTCTGGTGAGCATGCATGCCCTATAGCAAGTTAAAAATAGTAAATAATGAATAAAACTAAATAATTCTTAAAAAGAAATAGGAGTGACAGAATGGGGGCAGGGGAGGGAAAATCCTGAGGGATTTTTCTGGTCATTTTCTCTTTATTTCTCTTGCTGCAGATTTCTGTACGAGCGACATGAGCAGTCCAAGCAGGACCTCAAGGGTCTGGAGGAGACAGTCGTGAGTGGTTTCCTTCTGTGCCAAATTAACAGGGTCTCAGGGGGTTCATTTCCCCACCTCCCTGATATCTTCCTAAACCCACTGCTCCTGCCATTTGGCATAACAGGGACACGTTTTTTTCCTAAGGTTGAGTGAACCACTTGACTATGTAGACTGAAGGTTCCAGTGATTTTGGAGGGAGAAGTTTGACCTGGTGTGTGGCTGTCCCCAATTTTTCATCATTTCTTTCCAGGCCCGGGAACTCCAGACCCTCCACAACCTTCGCAAGCTGTTCGTTCAAGACGTCACGACTCGAGTCAAGAAAGTGAGTGCCGTCCTCGGGTATGGCCAGCCTCTACAGGTTCATCCCACCTGCTGTTCCAGTGGGGCTGCCTGGGCCTGGCCTGGGTGTGGCCTGTTCCATCTCAGGACAGTCACATCTTTCCTTCCATCTCTAATCAGAGTGCAGAAATGGAGCCCGAGGACAGTGGGGGGATTCACTCCCAAAAGCAGAAGATTTCCTTTCTTGAGAACAACCTGGAACAGCTTACAAAGGTTCACAAACAGGTACGAGTGCGGAGAAGGGGCCAAGAGTACTTTTAAGGCCAGTTGCCTAGGATACCCAAATTCTCGGAGGCCCCTGGATTTAGGGAAATCTAGCTGCATGTCTGCCTTACTTTCCTTTTCCTTTCCCTA